CGGGAGAAACGCCAGATTGATCGAAGTCGGGGAGGGGCGCTACCCCTGTCCTCACGACCCTATGATTTGTGTCGCGGCTCATTCCCGGGGGCATTGTGTGACATTGTGCTGAAATGTACCGGCGTCGAGCCGTCAACTCGGCGTATCAGCCGAGGACAGGTGGAAGGGAAAACCGCCGAGACAGTAACAGCATTCTCTGATAAATACCTACACTCTCCCACCCCAACCGGACGCGTCGACTGTAACTGAACTTTGCTGCACCCTATGTACTGACCGCAGATGCATGAATCAGGCGTGCACTATGCGTGCTTCGCCTCGCTTGGTGTCACGCAGGCTTCGGGCATGGTCCTATTTCCCCGCAGCTGTGTCTCCCGCCAGCAAGGGGCGGAGCGCAGTGAAGCCATGTGTGGTGCGGCGGCCCTGTCTGACCGAGCGGCAAGGGCACCTCTGGCCGGCAGGTCCGGCTCGGTACCGGCTGCCGGGAGCGCCGTCCGGCCTCGGACGGTGCCCTCGCGTGGCTCCCACCGGTCGGTTGGTTAAGGTCAGGGTGCATGACTGCCGGGACGGCATAGAGTGGCGGACGCGGTCGGCTCTAAACAGTGAGCTCAAAGCTGTGCAGAAACAAGCAGACTTTTGACAGCATGCATTCTGGACAATGGACGCTGGGCGGGACAAGGCCTGGACGCACGTATGGAAATGTGGGACGTGGACACTACACAACGCAGCATCGATCATTGTGCATCGTACTAGACACTAACTTATTTATTAGTGCATTGCATGGCTGGCAATATAGCATTGCATGGCTGGCAATGTAGTATTGCGTGGCTGGCAATATAGATGAGTGCAAGCACTGGACAATACTGGACTATCCGTGGGTGGTGTTGGTACCAACCGGTACTGGTACCTCAGAGGTTGCGGCACAGGAATTCCTCATCGAACAATATCGACGGAGGAGAGCGCGAACACTAAACAGTAGAGACCGGAGAAAGCTATACACTTCAACGAGCCCAGCCCAAAGCCCGAGCCCGACCCGAGCCCAGATCTGGATAACGTCGCCGCGGATGGCAGGCGCAGGAGAATGGACGGATCCGCCGGCCGATTTCCCTCACCAGCGTGGGAAGCCAGATGTTTGTGGCAACCCGCTATCAGTAATGAAACCTTCACGTTGCGGAATAGAACAAATGTGAGTCACCGATTTCGATCTTGACCACGAAGCGCCGCTGGTTCTTTTCCACGCGTCGGAAACTTCGGTGTTGCAATGTTACCTTCCTTAGAGGCAGTGACAGTTTGGACATCATAATGCAGTGGACGTTCTATTGCCGCAAATGCTTCTCAGAGATTTTGTGATACGGTGATATTCGGTGGCCAGGGCCTTTCGCCAGAAGTTTCGCAACAAAGAAAAACTGCTTTATTACCTCATTGTGTGCACAGTCGGTGGTGTGAAAAGATCATATCGATTTTGCCTTTGCTTACCAGACCCCGTGTGGTGTTCATTTCTACAACCAACGTTAGCGAAAACGACAAATCCTGGTTCTTTTAAACATGTCTTAGATTCGAGATTTGTGCAGGACAGGGACAGCCCCGCAATATGCCACCGACGAGCCCAGCCCGCCAGTGATGCGACACCTCAGCCCCACCAATCGCGCAGCAGCAGCAACGACGTACCTTCACAAGTAGAGCGTGCCGATCTTCTTCAGGTTGTTGTACTTGTTGTTGAGCAGGATGTTGTGGCTGCGGTGCGTGTAGACGCCCGGCTCGAGCCGCAGCTTCCGCTCGTGGTCGGCGATGATGCTCGGCTTGGCGAACATGTCCGGCGCCGGCTGGTGCAGGTCCCACACCAGGCTGGTCAGCGAGCGCGGCCGCGTCAGCTTGTTCGGCTTCGTCTCCAGCAGCCGGCTGCGGACGGCGGCCGAGCGCGCCGAGTCGCCCGAGCCCTTGTCGCCCGACGTGCTCGAGTCGAGCGTGTCGAACGCCGCCACCAGGCTGATGAGCGACTTGTAGCGCATGTCGAACAGTGGCGGCGCGGCGGAACGGACCGCGTCCGGCAGCGGGCCGTGGACGCTGCCGCCCTTCGGCGCGCCCGCCTTGTGTGCCGCGAACCGCTGGTTGGCGCGCGCGTTGCAGTTCTTGGTGAAGAGCTTGCCGGCCGGGCGGGTCTCCTCCGCCGGCGCCGGCCTCTGCGCGTGCTTAGCCGGGTCGGGTCGGCTTCTCGGCTGGCCGGGTGTCGGGCACCGGCGCCGCGGCCACCGCCGGCTTCGCCTTACCGGCCGTGAAGACTCCCGGGTGCAGGTTGAAGGGCCGCACGGCCGCCAGCGAGAGTCTCCGTGACGGGATCGTCTCGATGGGCGGCGGCACCGGCGGCTGGTCGGCTCGCGCCGTCGCCACCGCCGCCGCCGCTCCCGGCGCCGCCGCCGTAGCCGCCTTCGGCAGCGGCGCCAGGCCGCGCACGTAGTCGTAGATCTGGTCGATCTCATCGTACTCGTCGACTGTCTGGCCACTGTGACGGCGCGTCACGCGCGACATGGGCGCCGCCAGCGCGCGGCGCAGCCCGAGCGGCCGCACCGCCGCCTTCTTGCCGTCGAGGCGCGGGTCACGTGGCAGCGCCACGTCGAACGGCTGGATGCGGTCGGCTGAGTGCAGCCAGACCTGCGCGGCGCGGTCGCACAGACGGCCGAACTCGGCCGTGCGCGCCAGCTGCTGGCCGTTGACGGCCGCCTGCAGCCGCAGCGGCGCCGTCGGCGGCATGGCCACCACCACGCTGTCCTTGTGCAGCGGCAGGCCGAGCACCAGCTCCTGCTCGAAGGTGGTGTGCAGCCGCAGCTCGGGCACCGCCAGCCGAGAGCCATCGGCCGGCCTACCGCTCACCAGCCGAACGTTAAGCGGCAGCCGCTTGTTGAGCAGGTTGGCGACACTGTGCACGCCGCTGATGATGCTCTCCTTGGCGACGGCGCTGAAGCGCGCCTTCAGCTCGTGCGGCAGGTAGACGTTCTCGCCGCTGCTGTCGAAGCAGCGCAGGAAGCGGGCCGGCCCACGGCCGCGCGGCCGCACCACCTCGCCCACCAGCACGAGCGTCTCACCGCTCTGCAGCGTGCGCGTGCGCTCCGTGATCGTGTCCACGCTGTCCGACTTGGAGACGAAAGCCTTGCAGCTGCAGCGCACGATGCACGAGTCGGGGAAGAGACGCGCCAGCTCGGCCACGCCCTCGATGGCGCGCACCGAGCGGCCCTCCTCGCTCAGGATCTCGAACAGGCCGTCAAAGGTGTCCGGGATGAGCAGCTTCTGACCGACCGGCACCATGCGCCTGCTGTCCTTGAATTTGACGGCCTGGGCAAGCAGCCGGCGCCGGCGGCCGCCGGAGGTCAGCAGCAGTGTGCTGTGCACGCCGAGGCTGGAGAGGCCGCCCGGGCCCAGGCTCAGGTACTGGCCCTTCTGCACCTTCACCAGCAGCGGCAGCTCGTGGCGCTGCAGCAGTTCGGCCAGCGACGCCGCCTCGTCCGACCACGTGACCTGGCCAGCAGCAACGACGACGCGTCCGGGGTCATGGCGATGTCACGCCGCCGCGCGCTGGCTGACGGACGTCACTGGGATGGCGCCAGCTGGAAACGCAGCAAAGACGGCGTTAATGGTGCTGCCCTGACGTCCGTATGGCGTTTGAGGTGGTTGGGAACAGAGCAATGTTTGTTCCACTCTTAAGAAGTCGCACAATTCCTCAATGTGAGGACGCAATTTTGGCATGATTGGGATATTTGTTTGGAAGATTTACACCAACCGTGATGTTCGCAATCGCAATTTCGGATTGTCACAATCGTTTTAGAGATCCCTATGCAAAATAAAGGAGATATCACCAACATTGTGACAAGCGGGAAAGTGTGCGCCGCAGGTATGCTTGCTGTTGCGACACCAATTGCGATGACTGAGTCTAGTTAGAATCATAGCAACGTCCAGTTACTTTGGGCTTAGGTTCCAATGTAACAGGGTGTGGTCTAAATCCGAATTTAAGTTCGAACTCATGGCATACGGCTTATCACACTTATACCCGGTAAATGGCATGCCAGAATCCATCCAGACAACATACAAATTTATGTTTTATCATACCCACGGAATATCAACACTAATGCGTCTCAGATCCAACGAGTACTGTGCATTTTAAATGGTTCGAACCGCAAAAATGTACACGAGCACACGTAACGTTAGATTATCTCCGTCGTCTCATAGCTAATGGCATCCAATGGACGGGGATCTAATCTGATTTTAACTTACACGAAGAGTTGCAAGAATCAGTTAAATATAACCCTCCTAAGGTTTAATTGATGTCAAGGATGAACCGGATTTCACTCGGAATCAAGCACAAACTAAAGAGGTGCATCTCTGCCAAAACCCAGCCAACGACACCGCCCAACCCCAAATACCGCGAAGGACCACGGCTGTTGTCGACGGACTCGGGCGAGTTTTGCCACCTGTGGATGAGGCTGACTCTCTCCCTGCAAACAGCGCCGCTTTCCCACGTAACAAGCGGCCGGATCGGCGGCGGCGCGGCGGCGCCTGCTCTCATTGGCCTCCATCGGGGGGGGGGGGGGGCGCTCACGGCCGGCCAGACATCTGGGTTACCAGTAAACGGAAGGACGACGGTGGTCAGGCCTCCGCCGGCGCGGCGGAACGAAGCGCTCG